TTTATAATAATTTAGTGTACTCAATATATTCCAAATCCAAACTTAGCTTTGTTCTTGTGTATCTGTGTATCTGTGCGCAGGTGTATGTGTATTATTCAAATTATATAAAAATAATTGAATTAAAAATTACTGATTAAAATTAATTGTTTGTAAACTAAGGTACACTGTTTATAATACTGATTGATCCCCATCAATTATCTTGTCTTATGCACAATTCTCACACATAGACACACTATACAAACATATAGTCCCTCCCCCCCCCCAAAAAAAGAATCAGCTAAAAAAGGAGAAAAACAGGCTGGAAGGGAAGTGATGTTCATACTAGTAAAGGACAGAAAGAAAAAAGAAAGAGCAAACTGAATAGAGATGAAACAATATGAATAGAGATGAAACAAGATAACAGAACAGCTAAGGAAAAAAAAGAAAGACATCTGGAGAGAAAAGTAGAGCTTATAAGAATTAAAGCATTCATTAGATTAAACAAAGAGAGATGGGTCCTATCCTTGTACACTTTAGGGTGTTACTCTTTGCATATGCCTTACCACACTATAAAATTGAGTTGTTCTTTTTGTTTACAGAACCCTCTTTTCCTAAATATCCATAATTGCATGTCTCATCAATTCATTTATTTTGGTGCAGTTTTCCTCTTCATTAAAACTTTTCTATTTTTCATATACACAATTCTCATTTTATTTATTCCAACAATTCCTACATATGTCCCTTCCAAATTGGATAGAACTGATAGTGTTGAACTTTATGATAGGGGTGTATTGTATTGGTATATATTACAAAAAGCCTTTCTCTTTCCCTTTTTCTTTCCTTCTTTATTTCTCTTGAGGAAGGTTGTTTATTTGGGTTTCAGTTGCTATAAATATTGTTTCTCATTGCTTCCTAGACTGTATTTTACACCTTCTCCTAAGTTGATGTAACCTACATTTAAAGAGGTATATACAAGAAAGACTGTGGTTGTTTTTTTTTACATCATCTATATAAAATATTGATAATTATGTTTCTAATTGCACTGAGTAATTAATTAATCCTAGGGTAAGTAGAAAATTTATGCATCTCTAGGGATCTGTAAAATGCCAGCTCAGAAACAGAATCAAAGTTCTTCCAACATTTGTGAAGGAAATAGGAGTTATTTGCATACCAGTAGGAGGAACAAAGGCTTCTTTTAAGTTGAACTGAAGAAGAAACAAATATTATCCCAAGGAAGCAATAGGCATTTTGAATAGAATGTAGCTATTGTGATTGCTTCTTAGAGAACATTACTTTCTATCTGAAATTCAGTATGAGCCTCATGGGAGTTTGGAATTCATATTTGTAGAGAGTGAAAGGAACAGTATTTGCAGAAATCCTACTGATAAGTTTTTCTCTTATAAAATAAGTATTTTTCAGCCAAAAAATGAAAATGCCTTTCTGAACTAACAAGTCTGTATCCAGCGTATCATTAGAGACTTTACTTATATTTTAAAAACTTCATCCATTTCCCAGATGTTCTCTCTAATCTACAATTTTCTTCCAAACATGAGTATTCTTCTACCACTGCTCTTGTGTGGATGTATTTCTCAGATCTTTCTCCTTTTTTGAACAGGAGAATATGTTTAATTATGTTAGATCCTGTTTTTCAGCCTGTAAAAACTTTGCAAAAACAAAGAGCTTGCATTATCCCAGTTTTTAAAATGTAGTTATAGTTTATGACTATCTTTGTAAGACATTTATTTAGCCTTTTTGAGGCTAATATTTCTAAAATGTGAGAAGGGATGATGATGATGACGACGACAACAACAACAATAATAATAATGGCAGAGGTCTTTTACAGGTGAAACAAACTGGAAGAGGAAAAACACAGCTTAAATGACTACATTAAAAAGTAAAAGAGTCTCTGCTGAAGGAGGTGAACAAGGGAAACCTCTTGAAAACAACAAGACTGAAAGCAGAATGTCGAAAGGAAACCAATTGAGTATCAAATTTCTAACAGTCAATATCTGAAGGACATTGAAGGAAAGGTAGATACAAAGCTAAGATGGAACTTGTTGAGATCAGAAGTGCTGAAGAAAGAAGCTGAGGGCTTCATTTTGGCTGCTCAAGAACAAGCCTTGCAGACCAATTCCATGAAAGCAAAAATTCAACATGTCAGCAACAACAGCAAATATCACTTATGCAACAAGAAAGATGAAAGAGCGGATCACCTTATCAGTGGCTGCAGCAAAATCTCACAGACTGATATCTACAATGTCATGATCAAGTTGCCAAAATTATACAGTGGAAGCTTTGTCAGAAGTTTGCAGCAAAAATTACTGGGAACACCAAATCAACAAAAGTTCTTGAAAATGAGCAAGACAAGATTCTGTGGGACTTTCTGATCCAAACAGAGACATCTGGCCCACAACATGCCTGACATCACTATTGTAGAAAAGAAAAATGTCTGTTTCATTCATATTACAATACCAAGTGATGCATGAATTGAAGAGAAACAGCTAGAAAAAATAAGGAAATATTGTGATTTGTAAACTGAACCTGAGCGATTGTGGAGGAAGAAATCAATGGTTGTACCAATAGTAATAGGAGCCATTGGAACAATACCCAAAAGGCTGCCTAGATACATGGAAATTTTGAAATTATTAGACCTGAATATCCTGACTTTGCACAAAACCACCCTACTCAAGCAAGCTAGAAAATGAAGAAAGAAGAGAAACTGAAGAACAAGACCAAAAAATATCTGGTCAAGAAATATAACTTAGAAACAAGGAAGATTAAGGAGCACTGGAAATAACCAAGCAGCATAATATAGTCAAGAAGATCAATGGATACAAAGCTTGAATTTGCACATTACAGGCAGAATCTCCAATTTCAGTTAAATCAGAAACGTTTCTGCTAATCCATCAATGGAGAGACTAGAGTGAACCAGCCGGCATCTGACAAAGAAGAAACAGTATTGTTCTGAGCACAAGAACAATACAACAAGGATGCAGCTTGGATAGAGGAGTTGTTAAGAATAAAAAAGAAGCTGAAATGAAATGCAGGACATTGCGACCATTGTAAATGGATTATATTGGATGCAATAAATATGTCCATTATTTTGAGAGATATCTGGATGGCAATGTGACCCATTGTACCAGAGGTCAGCTAAAAGAGAGCCCATTAAATTGAAATTTCAGTGCATACTAATGATAGTATAAAAATGCTTTTTCAATAAATCATAACAATAAGATGTAACAATTAAAAAAAACCCATGGATTTCATCATCTGTAATGGGCAGTAAGGAATAACCTGAACAGGGGGAACTATCCCAATCAAGGCAATGATCAGATAAAAGGCACCTGAATGCATTTCTGTATTTCAGATATGTCCCCCTAGTTCTCATGAAACTAAAGAGAGGGAGGGAGGAAGCAAATTCAGATGCACAAGATTCTGTTGATGTAACCTCATAATAAAGTAATATTAGCATTCATATCATAAGTCTGATCTACCTTGATGTGTTGATGCCATCCTTTAGGTTAGAGAAGATGATCATTTAAATAGCAAATCATGACAAGTTCTAATTTAATTTGCTTAACAATAATTGCTGAAAATGTAACAATTTGGCATTCTTTTTTTTTATATAAATTTTTTATTAATTTTTGAAATTAAACAACAAATAATACAAATATGATGCATTTACTTACACAAGCAAAAAAGATAATCCTACTCAATACGTTTTCGGAGACGCTCGGCAGTCCCCGCGTTGCCTCCACCCTCATTCACTTTCCTCTTCCTTCCTCCCCCTAAACCCACAACCTCTCCTCTTTCCTCCTTTCCACCTCCCTACATCCCATCTCCCTTCTTAACCACCTCATCGAGTGCAATTTGGGGTACCAGCCGAGCATCTCTTTTTAATACAATTCCATTATTTACCTATAACATATAAATACATCAATTTTTATAATTTCTATCCCCTAATCCCCTTCTCCCCTCCCCCCCTGGACTTCCCAGAGCTGAGTACAGGAATAATCACATAATAATCCAAGTCTAACCCAAGCAACCCATAACAATTTGGCATTCTTAATCTTGGGTGCAAAAATTCATGCTGTGAAGTCAAACTATAAAATTTAAGTCAGAATAAAGATGCTATACAGCATTCTGACATGCAATTTATTCAGAGGGGCTATCACATAAGCTGTTTTCTGAGAAAATGTCTGTTGAGGAAAACTTGTAAAAGGGTCAAATGGACTTCTATCCATATTTTCATGAAATACAGCAAATCAATATGTATCTGCTCCTTGGCTTTAACTGCATTAGACATACAGTTTCTCAGACAATTTGCAAATTTCTTCTCCTGATTTGCTATTAAAATATTTAACTTAAGACTGCTACCTTTTTTACAGCACAACAAAAAAAATTAAATTATGTTTTTATATAGTAATTTCTTATTCTTGAAATAGGAAGTCAATCCTATTTCTAGTTTAGGGAAGTTAGACCCCATTAAACTCACTACATAAAAGTGTTTTATGGTACTTTTAACTGAAACTCTAATTGACAAATGTATAATTTTTATGGGAGTTACTTATAAAGATAAGTTATGGTTTATTTAACTATGACTATGGAATAAACCACACATTCCTGGGTTCATACAAAAATTGCAAACTAAAAACAAGCAAACCACATTATGTTTTAGCATGATGTCAAATTAGAGTGAGCTATCTTCCTAGAAATTAGTGGGGAAGAACAATTTCAAAAAGGTTGACTACATTTAATTGTATTTATTCATTTATATCTAGATGGTGCTCCCAGTTATGTGGCAATATTAGCTAACTATGGCTGATTTTAAAAAAATCTCAGAAGGGTCAAACTTTATTAGTGCTGGGTGCAAACAAACCAGGAATCTCAATAGGTTAGAGTACAAAATATCCAAGAAAAAGGCAATGGCAAACCTTTCCATAAACACACATACCCTTGATTAATAGAAGCAGAATAAATTATGCCACAGCCTAATGTTTTCTGAATGGCTATTTCTGTAGGTTTGGAGAGGTACATTAGCTCGACTCCAATACAAGAGGACCCGAGCTGCCCTCAAGATTTTAAAATGTTACCGTCGATACAAAGTGAAGTCTTATATCTGTGAGGTTGCCCGACGATTTCAAAATGTGAAGTCTATGAAAGGTTATGGGAAGCATGTGAAATGGCCTAATCCTCCAAAGGTTTTGCGACGGTTTGAAGAAGCTCTACATGCAATCTATTACAGGTAAGAAATGGGAACAATCCGTTCCTTGAGTTATGAAGCTTGGGCAGTGCCACCCAGCATCTTCAGCATCTCTCTGTGGAGTTATCTTTGTAGATTGAATAGTAGAGATGCTACTTCAAGAAGCATCAACCACAGAAAGAATACCATTGTACATTTCTAATGACATGAGTCAACTGAACATCTTTTCTGAATGAAAATACTCATATTGATCGATAATTTTGAATTTTTGTTTCACAATCCTTGCCTTATGTCAAAGTCCTGTATGACTTCTTAATTTTTTTCTCAGATGGAGAGCACATGAACTAATTAAAAGTATCCCACCCAAAGATTTGCCACAAATCAAGGCAAAAGTGGCAGCATTGGAGTTGCTTAAGGGCCATCGAGGGGATATTGGATTGCAAAGGGTCTGGCAGGGCAACTACCTTGCATTGGTAAATATAGTAGAACCTGTCAAAATTCAGTCATTGTTTCTTTTAATACTACAAAAATGAAAACATAAATGAATAGTGAACTATTTGTAGTTCTTGCTAGATAAAATAATAATTTATTAAATTAATTAATTAATTAAATTAACATGTGTTCCTGCCAGACAAAATAGTGGTAATATTGTTCAGTAGGTAAGCTAATCTGGTCTTCTAGTCTAAACTGAACTCCTGAAAATTCAAGTTTGGCCTCCATATTCCAACTGTACTTGAAAATTTGTGGAATCTTCTCCAAAAGTTTTGAGCCAGTGGATATGTTTGGAAATTTAAAATCATATTACAGACACTCTTGCAATATTAATGTCAGCAGTAGGTTTAGCCAATAAAAAAATCTATATACCAAGATGAAAACCTATGTTGGAATTTTTCTGTATGCCCCTATGTCTCTTTATTTTTTTTAATCAGACAGTTGTGGGAGAAATAAGAATAATTGAAATAGCAGCAAAAAATTTTTTGTGGTACCTGCTGTCTACAACAGCAATCCCCCATATGATTATCACCCTGATAATGTTCAGAAAGTCACTGAAAAATTTGACTATTTTCCTGGCTTTGGGGCATGGGAGTAGGAAAGCTAATCTAGGTATATTCTATTCTAAACTGAACTCCTGAAATTATAAGATGCTGTGCTTATTGTAGAGAGTTTGCCTTTTGGACACCTATGTCCATCTCCTTAATTTTATTTCTTGACTTTTTAAACTTAAGCAAACGGAGAACAATAGCTACATTTATTACTAATGTATATTTGATTTGGAATACTAAAGATGCTCTGGACTTGTTTTAATAATAGATAAGTTTATTGTTTCTTTAAGAATCCTGGTAATTCTCAGGCTACAGGTTCATTCACCTCTGTTACTTCTGAGTTGCAACGCAAGGACAAGTTCATGAAGATTCTTTTCTCATCTCAAGTTCGTAAGGTAAGCTGGAGAAAATTGGAAAAAATTCACATAGTGGTAATAACAATAAATCAGGCATTCTAAAATTAATATCTATACCTAGCCTTATTACTGTTTGTATATTTTTCTCAGCTTTGTTCCAGGATAATTGGTTGTATCTTGAAGAATTTCCTTGCTAAGTTTGTGCGTCTATGCAAAATCAGGCAAAATTTTGCACTGAAACGAAAACATAGCATTTAATGGTCTTGGATTCTTCAGGTTCCCCTTTTGTCCAATATTTTGGGAAAGAAATGCTGCTGTGTTCAAAACCTCCAATAAAGATGCAATAGAATAGATCATTTGAACATAAGCTTTCTTCTTCAGTACAAAGGACAGCTCCTTGTATGCAAGGTGGGATGCTGGTATTACAAGAAATTGTGAAGTCCTTGTTTTCTTGGAAGCCTGTGTGAGCATTGGTCATTAAATATGATCAATAACTTGATATGATTCAAGTGATAACAATCCAGAGCAAAATAAAAACAATACCAATAATTACTTGCATGACTTTGCACAAAGTAAGAATTCCTTGATCCAACTAATTAGTAGATGCTTTTCATGTTACCTCTAACATATTAAATTCTGAAGTTCTTGATATGAACATAATGAGTTGTTTGAAAAAGGAAATCAGGGACTGCCCCATCATGTTCACTTAATTAATGTAATATGCAAAAGTAACCTAGTGTCTGTGTCTGTGTGTGTAAATATTTGCTCATTGAATTAGAGGTAAATTCTTGAAGGTTAGATTAAATGGATCCTTGACAATATTGCTAACATCGATGCTACAAAAGTTGATCAGAGACCAAAAATCAAAGACGATTCAGTTAAAATGCATCATATAGACATGGACAAGACTGGAAAAATAGAGATTTATATTCCAGTCACAAAATGGGGCAGTGCTAAAGAATGCTCAGACCTTATAGTTCAACTTATTTTCCACTTGAATTAGGATAATTGTTAAGATTTTGCTATTTGTGCTTCAGTAGCACATGGAAAAACAACTATATTCAGAAAGACATAGGACAGTCTTCCCATTTATATATCTGATTTTTTGTAAAATTTACTAATCCATTCTTTCAATTTAACACCACTGGTGTTAAAGGAGAAATTCCTGGCATTAACCAATATCTCCATTTATTCCATAGTTCTATCAATTTTTTTAAAAAGGGATTTTGAATCCTCTTAATAATTTTTTAACATCCTTTTTGAACCAATATGTTTTTATAGGATCACCTATTTCCCTTAATTCCTTCAACTCTATATCGGTCCATAATAAATATATAATAGGTCAACAGCCTCTTTTTGTTTACCACAGTACATATGATCGTCGCTATTGTAATCTTGACTTTTTTTAGATCTTTTTAATAGGCATATTTGTTCTTTATTAATAAAATATATTAAATATTTTTAAAATATTTTATAAAATAAAAATAAACTGTTCACCAGGAGCACTTACAGGAGCAGTTAAGGTTGGATGTTTTGGACAAGCAATGCAAAGGCAGCAGTCATTGGAAAAGACTATGATTTTTGGAAAAACTTTGGGAGGCAAGTGAAAAAGAGTCTAACAGAAAAAAAGACTCTGATAAAAGATAAAATAGCCAGATATCCTCATTGTTGACATAAGCATTGACTTACAAGAGCTCAAAGAAACAATTACTAAGACAATTCTGGCAAATTTGTGTCCTTTGTGTCACAAAAAGTTGGAAGTGACTAAATGACTGAAGCAACAGTAATTTTCAGGAAATGAGTAGCATGTAACAGTAATGTGAATGAAAGGTAGAAGTGGAAGAGGAGTGGGCAAAAGCAAGATAAAACAAAACCACAGAGATTTGAGTAGGTTATCTTTAATGTTAGCTGAGGATAACTCTTGAAAATTATAATGGGAAAAGAAAATATCTTCCTTAGCTTCAAGTACAAAGTAGCTGCAGACCACAGCAATTTTCCAGAACAGGAACTAGTTACCATAATCAGTTACCAATATCAGACATCCAATAGTGGATCAAGAACATGAAGAGCTAGACAGCACTTGGCCTGAACACGATCCATGCCTGCTGGCTAAAGAAACTGACCCCTACCAGCATAGACAAACCAGATGCTAGCAGCAGGATTTCAGCCAAACTGGCCAACACAAAGAAAGATAGTGCTCATCATGAAAGACCCCCCACAAGGGAAGAGCACTATCCAACTTGACAATAACCTGCTTCCCCACAACATGGAAAATCCTATCAGACATCATAACTATCCAGTTTTTTGCTGCAATTATTAAGCAAATCATTGCAATATTAAAGCAAACCATGTGGTCATTAAGTGAACTTGCTTTCCCCATTTACTTTGTCCAAAGCCCTCTGGGAAGCTTGCAAATGGTGATCACGTGATCCTGGGATACTGCAACTATTGTAAATACATGATGGTTGCTAAGCACTTGAATTTTGTCCATATAGCCTTGGGGATGCTGCAGCAGTTTTAAGTTGAGGACTTATTTTCACATCATCATAACTTCAGTCATTAAATGAATGGTCATAAGTTGAGAACTATCTATGAGGAATTATTCTTGTGATGTCCAGCAGAGAGAGTACATGCAGCCTGGTCAAATTTAAGACCTAGCAAAATTTCAAAATTGTGATGGAGGAGAGATAGAAAATGGCCATGACCCATTTCAAAAGACCTCACAAGCTGTGTGGCTGGGAACCAATCTTGTTTGATTTGAAGGTTAAAAAATACTTCTGGTGTTTTTGAAATTTAATTTAATGTATAGAGGCTTTCCGGCAAGAGCCCTATATGGAGTAAAGCTTGACAGGTTCCTATCCCTAAGAAGGCTTTGTCGTGCCTCTTTGCCAAATTAGTCTGCCTTGATTGTGGAGCATATAGAAGGCTCTTTACTGCAAATCAGACTGTGGGCAGTGTTTCAGGTATCATGCTTCCAATTTACTTGAGACTTTATAAATAGGATCTGAACATCTTGAAATGTGTCACAAAAATAATTAGCAGTTAAAGCAGTTCGTGAAAAACTGGTGTATATCAATAGAGCGGGTGCCAGAAAGCAATCTGGCTGCTCTATTTTCCACTAATTACAATTCTCAACATAGAGTCCTCATTATATCCTGTTTCTAAAATAAAAAGGTTGCAATTATTTCCTGAACATGAACTCTGTGTGAGGGACATAATGTAGGTTTCATTTTCTAACTTATTAAGCCAAATAATATGTAGAGTTGGCACCTTTATCTAGGATTAACTCATGGAGATTTCTAATACTGAAATGGACTATGATTTAAACATGATGCTTTGCTAATAAGGCAGATCAGTTTATTGAGATTAGAGAAAGTTTCAGAAAAAAAGACTGAATTTTTCTGTTCTTTCTCTGCATATCTGGCACTCTCTGCTAAACAACCATCATGATAGCAGCATGCAGTGATTAATCAGTGACAAAAATATTTCCTTTACTCAGCTAATTGATGGCCAGATTATCAAAAATAATAGTTTTTGGTTAGTCTTTTAGTGTTCTCTAGCCTGAGTCCTAGAAGGAGAGTATTCCCCAACTGCGTGGCCAAAATAAAGAAAATTTGTCAGATCCAAAAAAGTCAAATTGTTTGGTGAATGATGATATAAATCTGAAGCAGATCTGAAGTTAGGGGTAGTTTAGTGTTCTTTATGTCAAAAGAATACCTTAAACTAATATCATTGCAAAAGGTTTATATAAATACATACAAATGTGTACTAATTTTTAGAATATTATTTTCTATATATATTGTTAAAATAAAATTCAATTATTTAAAGCGAAATTTAAATATTTTAAGGAAGCGTTTATCAGATTTCCTCTGTAGCGACCTGGACTTCAAACAGCTAGTCCAAAAAAAAAAAAAGTTCTCAGAACTCTAATTAATGCATTTTGTTAGAAATATTAAAATTTCAACTTCAACAATTCTAATGAGCACTCTTATTTGCAAATGCAATATCTATATAATGCAGACCAAGATTCCGGTTTTCACAATAATAATTCTTTCAGTTTGTGTGTAATATATTGTACTGTTTTTAAGATAATAATTGTAATACTGGTGTGTGTTTTAATTATTTGCAGATAAACCGCTTCAATAAGGTAGAAAATCGAGCAATTTTTATAACTGACAGGCATCTTTATAAGATGGACCCTGTAAAGCACTACAAAGTGATGAAAACTATCCCATTGTATAATGTAAGTATTACTCTGTTGACTTCCGGAATATTTTCTTTGGGATTTATTTTTTATGCATTGTTACTTGCTAAAAATATACTATATATATTGTGGTTATATAATAAGAAAGTTTCTATTTGTTGTACTGTTTACTTGCTATAATTTCCAATGGTTGAAAATTTCAGCATGGTTTAACAGAATATGATCATTTTAAAATAACATTGGCAATCCCAACCAGAGATATAAATCTTGAAACCCTTATCCAAATTTTGCTTTTAGCTATTGTACCTATTCATGCTTTATGAACTCCATACTTCTCAGTGTAATCATACAGTATCTACTGACCTTCCCCTCCCATTTCCCATTATCATTGCAATCCTTTATTCTGTATTGCTATATTACTCAGCTTTCCTGCTGTATGTCTTAGTGCAGAATGGGTTATCCCAAGTTAAAAGGTCAGAATTTTTTTTTAAAGCAAGAACAGTGATATCATTTGTAAACCCTTCCCCTTCATCTCACTAATAATCCTCTCAGGAGCTGATTGGATACCCTGGGCTGGGAAATACATTTCTCCAATTATAAGTTATTGTTGAAATTTGTTTGTTTTAGGAATGACTTGTCTTGAATAGCAATTAAAATATGCCAAATCATATTAAAATAGCTTGGTCTTTTGACACTGTTAAGAGTAAAAATGCTAAGTACCGGTAGCTGTAAGAGAGAGAGAAGGAAGGAAGGAAGGAAGGAAGGAAGGAAGGAAGGAGGGAGGGAGGGAGGGAGGGAGGGAGGAGAGAGAGAGAGAGAGAGAGAGAGAGAGAGAGAGAGAGAGAGTATATAAGATTTCTCTTGAAGGTTTAGATAGACAAATTACTTCAGTTGCTGTGAGAAACTTCCTAAACACTTCTTATCTTCCAGTTAATTATGCCTTAGAGAGGACCAAGAGGGAAGTGGTTTTCTATATACTATATTAACAAGCATTCTTACAGTGAAAAGTTTAATGAAATCATCTTATATAGTGACTTTTCAAAATTAAACAGACTTTTTTTTTGTTTAGCATATGTTCATTCCTTTAAGGCAGATGTGTGTCCATCAAGCATACTTCCAACCAATTTATGATTAATTTAGTTTATGTACTGTCCTTCCTATCTAACAATAAGCTTGACTTCCCCCAAGGAAATCTGGAATTTAAATGTAATGAGAGCAATTTAGAATACTAAGGGAAGAAATGAAGGCATTTAAAATATTTAGAATTGCATTTTTAAGCATCATCTTGAAGCTTAAAATCTCCAATGCTGGGATCAGTTTTACTAATGTATAAGAATGCATATAATAACAGATCCAGGTATAACTTGAATAAAAAGCAACTGAGAGGAACAAATGAAATGAAATGATTAACATATTCAAATAGAATCCCTTTTTTTCTTCCTCAGTTGGTCATGGGAATGTTTTCAACAATGGTTGCTATGTGCTCAGTGATATAGCTAGTCTAGTCCTTTAGCATCAATAGGGCACATATAGCAACACATTTAGCAACATTTACCATCAGCATGCTGGCCCTAAGTGGGTGATTTTGCCCAGTGGAGTGTTTTTTTTCTGTTCTTATTATATTAAAATACTTTTTAAAAGAAATAAACCACCAGCCTCAAGATTTTAAATTGCTATTCAATTAAAAAACATCAAGCCAGTTATGTTTATTTTTTTATCCTATTTCATAATATAAGTAGTTGATGTATTGTTTATAGTTTTTATTTTTCCCGAGAAGCCCTAGAAATTAGTTTCCTTAGAAATTTTGTGGAGAGAATAATATTCAGTTACTGATGTTTATTTCTTCCTCTTATACGTATCGTTATTAATTTTAAATAATACAGTGTCTGTACTGAAACCAGGCTTGTTGAGCTTCATTTGTCTATCAACCCATGTTCACCATTGTGGTTTCTAAAGCTTCCTTGTCAACATCGCAATATCCCCATGGAACCTGTTGCCATAGCAGGCATCAACTGATGTCTGGTTCTCCTGCAACTTGTTTTCTAGCTTAGGAAGCTATACATATCACTTCTAACCTTTTAAAAAAAAGGATATCACCAAGTAGAAATATTTACTTGGCGTCTTTGACATCTAGAAGTAGAAATAATTATTTTTTGGATGAGAACAATGATGTTGCAGGAAAAAAATTCAAAAATGGAGGAAATTTTTGAAATATGGAAGAAATATGTTCACTTTATATTTAGCAAGGGTATGCTGTATTTAAAGGATTTCATTTGTTAATTTATAATTTATTGATTTTACTAAAAGGAAAAGTTGTACATAGTATTACTATTGCTTCAGACAATTTTTGTTAAAATGAACCAGGATCAATTACTGCAGTCAACTTGGTATATTAAGAATGTGGATTAATGTAAGGTATATCACAAAGCAATTGTTCAGTTGCTTCAGTGTGTCCTCCTATTAGGGCAAACCACCATTATTCATGCCATTCCCCAACTATTAGATTACATTTAAATCAATTCTTTATTTCATGCCAACAACATGTACGTAATTGATTATAAAATTCCCAGGCTTGTGTTACATAAATTACCTTTCTGTTTCAAAAATTACTGAAACAAATTATAGACCGAGACTGCATTTACATGTCATGTTAAGCCAGAATTCTCCAATAATCTCATCTCATTGTGAGACGATATAGCCTAAATCAGGGGTCTCAAAATGCCGGCCTGCGGGCCGGATGCATCACGCGGAAGCCATGCCCACCCCATTGCTGGCAATGGCAAAACAGTCCTGATACATTGCGCGATGTCACGTGATGTCGCGAGTTTGACATGTCTGGAATTGAGAATTCCTTTAACTGAATATGAAATATTAGTGAACCTTATAAGTGAGATGCTTAATAACGCAGTATACCTGCTTGAACAGGTAGGCTTTAAACTGGATTAACGTAGTATCATTTCTACCTATAAGTATTGCTATTTTAGGTTCTGTTATAACACCAGCTTTCTGTTCCACAGAACATGACTCAGTCTTAATTTTCCCATCCAGAGACAGATAGTTCTAGAAGACTAAACTGGCTTTTTTTTGTGCTTCAATAGAAGCTAATTATGAAATTTGACATCTCTTTACATACCTTAAGAAATTAATGGCCTGGATAATGTAAATATAGTGGAACATTCTAGTCTATGTATACTTTTGTCATTTTTTTTTAACATTGAGGCTGTTGGGAGAATGTTGAATAGCAGTAGAGATAATTATCATTCAGCATCCGCTTATTCATGGACTGGGGACAAGATGGTAAGGGCAATGACAAAGTGACATGGGAAAATTTATATTGTTGAGACACGATTGTTCCATGGTTAATTACAAGTGGGAATCTGACCTAAGAAAGCCGTTGTATAATAGATTGTCTTGAGAGGCAACAAATACTCTAAATATTCTTGCCTTTAGTCTATAAAGTATATTCTACAGCATAAAACATTGCTAGCTTTAACATTCTTATTTCATGCAGCTAACAGGACTGAGTGTCTCTAATGGAAAGGATCAGCTTGTGGTTTTCCACACAAAAGACAACAACGATCTAATTGTTTGCCTTGTCAGTATGCATTCACTTAATGAGAACAGAATTGGGGAGCTGGTTGGAGTCGTGGCAAATCACTTCAAAAGGTAAGAGGAATATGCACCTCTGAATCTGAAACAAATATGAAAGTAAAAACTAAGCCAATTGATGATATAGGTAGCCCTTGATTTACAACTATTCATTTAGCAACTGTGAAAAGTTACAATGGTGCTGAAAAAAATCCATTCCTTGCACTTATGACTCTTGCATCATCCCCATGGTCACATTATTGCAATTCAAGCACTTAGCAACCAGCTCACATTTACGACCAGTTGCAGTGTTCTGCAGTCACATAATCAGGATTTGCAATTTTTTTTGCCAGTTTATGGCAAAAAAAAAAAAGCAATTTGGAAGAATGGTTTGTACTTACAATCTCAGTGTTCACTTAATGATCATTGTTGAAATGGTTGTAAAATTGGTCTTTGACTTAAGACCGCAATGACTTACAATGAAAATTCTGGTCTTAATTCTTGTCATAAGTTGAGGACTTCCTGTAGCCTTTTTTCCGTCCTCTATCTACAATTTGATTGTTGGAATTTCCTGTCTTCTTTCTTTTCCTAATTTGAAAAAATTCCAACTTTGATCCTGCTAATTTGGTTTGTTTTGGCACTGTTATATATACTGGGGTTTTTTTCATTTCAACCATTGACAAAAATCGGATCTAGGTGACATGTATTTTTGTAAAACAATGTAAAAGGAACCGGTAAACGTGACTGCTAATAACTGTCCTGCATCAAGACTATTTCTTTTGCGAGAAGCAATGTGTTCTGCTGTGCTGTACTGTATTCTCAATAGATTTTATTAATTAGAACTTCCATTTCCTGTTCACACCCACCCGTTATGTGTATTATTTGAAAAGTGTTCAGCTTCTATTTCGCAGTTCCTTCCCATCCTCATCTTAACAAAAACTGACATTGCAGCAGTGATTTGCCTATTTCTTTTGCACTTTAGATTTTTCCTTATGTCTGTTTAAAGAACAGATTTAAAATATGATACCTTAGGTTACTAATAGCTACCATATTCTTCATATCTTTAAAAAAAAGCAAGTTTTGGCATTCTGATTGTAATTCTTCTTGTTTTGGAGCACTTTAATTTTCCTGATCCTATGAAACATTTTAGTTCCTTATGGAAGATTGGCATTCTCATGGATATACAGTGCTGTGAACTATCAACCCATTTGCTTGGCCCTGAGAGAATCTGGTCTAAATGGAAACAAAGGTTCATCAATATTATTATCTAAATCAACTTCAGCAAAGAACCATCATATACATAGGGGGCTTGGTTTTGAGGTCTTTTACCCATATTAAGTATTGTGTAAAAAAAAATCATCAGCTTCATAGAAAGCGTTTGCCCTTCGCTTCTATAACTTTTTGCTAATCTTGCATTAGAATAGCCGGTTTGATGTAATGGTAAAGGTCAAAAGAATTGGACTGATTGCTAAAAGGGAGATAATATGGAATCAAACACTAGGTATTTTTTTTTATGTCTGAGTTAAATTTTAATTGTTAAATTAAATAAAATTAATAATTGGAAATAAATTTTATTTCTAGAATTAATGCATTCATTTTTTTTATATGGTAGTTATTTAGAACCTAGGAAAGAAAGGAAAGCCTTGGGTGAATAGACAGGAATTGATTACTAAAATGCAGATTATAAATGGGAAAATTCCTGAATCTTACACTCCAGTTCTTTTCTTAACTCTAACCACCACTGTGCATTCTCACACATACACATATACAGGTAGTCCTTGACTTACGACTGGTTGGTTAGTGACCATTCTAAGTTACAATGGACCTCTGAAAAGCTGCTTATGACTCAGTTTCAAAGTTACAGCAGCTGCAGCATTCCTGTGGTTACATGAACAAAATCCAGGCAGATTTGCTTCTTTCAATCTACTGCAGGGATGCTGCAGCAGCCCCGCCACCTAACTCCTCCCCATCCTGCCCCACCAGATTCCACACTCCTCCACACACACCCCAACCCGAATCACTTACTTTCTGTGGATGTCCAGGCTTTTCTACCCCTCAGTATCCCTAGACTCTATGGCTTTGTCTTGGAAGCGGGTGCCATTTTCGGAGCACCTGCAATTAATTAATACTTAACATCCACACTAGGGATAGCAGAGATGACAGCTGTTAAATGAGGCGGTCATGTGGGCGCCTTACTTAAAGACCATCATGACTTGCAACCATAATGGGCAGGCTCCATTAAAATTGTAAGTTGAGAACTGCCTGTACTCCCTTTTTTTTTTTTATTGTTTCACGCTTAAACATTCCCATTTCCTGAAGACATATGTATAGAGAGAAGGTGAATAAAGTACAGGTAGTCCTCGACTTACAACAGTTATTTTAGTGACTGTTCAAAGTTATGACAGCATTGAAAAAAGTGATTGATGACCATTTTTCACACGACCATTGCAGCATCCCCATGCTCACATGGTCAAACTTTGGTTGCTTGGCAACTGACTCATATTTATGATGGTTGCAATCTCTTGGGGTCATGTGATCCACTTTTGTGACCTTGTATCAAGTAAAGTCAATGGGGGAAGCCAGATTCACTTAACAACCATGTTATTAACTTAACAACTGCAGTGGTTCACTTAACAACTGTGGCAAGAAAGTTCGTAAAATGGGGCAAAACGTACATAACAAATGTCTCACTTAGCAACATAAATTTTGGGTTCGATTGTGGTCATAACTCAAGAACTACCTGTAGTACTATAATATGTTTTCCTGCTTTCTCCCCACTTCATCTCAGTATAAGATGTAGAGTTATTTGTAAAAATAATAAAGGTGGAATACAAACAAAACAAAACAAATTTAAATCTGAGATCTTGTTGTGTTTCCCCCTAGCCCTGTTGCCTAATTGATTGCTTATAGGAAATAATGATAATATGCTGATTACTGCTTTCATAAATTTTTCTCTGTGCCAGAATACAGTACTGCATGATTTAAAAAAAAAAGTACTCATACATATAACCACCACCATCCGGCGCTAGTCTCGGGATAAGCAATATTATACGAAGTACAGAAAATGAGTAAAAAATAGTAAATCAAAGAAATCAAATACAAGAAAAAAAAGAAAAAGAAGAAAACATAATTAAATATGGCTTATATTAGCACAGTTCTCGGTACTTCATAATTTCTGCCTTTGCATCTGAATAGTACAGTATAATTCCACATATTTCCATAGTACTTTGTAACATAACTCTTTTCAATCAGTTACAAAAAGTTTCAGCATAATTTTCTTGAGGCCTGCTTTCCATTCATTCATTTGGGAGATTAATTAATAAACTAATGTTTCTTTTTCACACAGAACAGAGTTTTTTTCTGCAGTTTTCTTTCGTGTCCATTTTTTTGCTTTCAACACTAACAATAACTACTCTGTCCTGCATTCATAACCTTTCATCATTCACAGATCCTTCATTAATTCTCTCAATCTTTCATCACCGTCAGTCAAGTACTGCTTTTAGATTCATCTTTAGCCATATTCTTAACCTTTTTTCTAACCACATGCCAAGCAATAATCATTCTCGTCCTTCCTTGGCTGAATCACTTTTTCTGTATGCTCTCATCTCATTTCCACCTGTCCATTCTACCTAACTAACAGGATGACTTGCATTCAGTCAGAATCCTGCACAACTTTGCTTTAGATCAGGGGTTCCCCACCTCCGGTCCATGGACCAGTACCGGGCCGTGGTAAGCCAGCAACCAGTCTGAACAAACAAGCAAAGCCCCATCTGTGAGATGCAGGCAGCACATAAAACCACGCCCCCTCCAGTCCATGGGAAAACCTCTCTCCACGGAACCAGACCCTGATGCCCAAAAGGTTGAGGACCTCTGCTTTAGATCACAGTCCTTGGTGGTTGGCACATTTTGACCAGTATGCCTCAACTAAAACCTGAATTTTATCCCAGATGCACTGACATATTTAGGATATATTATTATATTAAAGCAAGGATCTCTCATCTAAAATAACCTGAAAGCCAACTTACATTACCCATATCCCACATGAAGTACATGAAGGGAACTGACACATTTAGGATACGGAAAGGAAGAAAGACACCATGATCTAAGTACCAGATGCCCTATTTAACCAACGATCAAGCTTGATGTTGAGATGAACTTGAATGTGTTATGATGGGGAGGAGGAATACAATCATCACTGCAAACAGTGTCCTTCCCATTTTAATCGTGCACAGACAAGCTGCTTGACTGAATAAAAAAATGCATTTGCTGAATAAAGAACTCTGTGCAATAACATGAAGATGCCCTTTAAAGAAGATGAAGATTTTGCTTAGCTTAATAAATTTCATACAATTTACTTGCTTATTACACTTATCCCATCTTATCCAAAATGACACTGGGCAGTTTTCAATACAATAAAACCATTAGTAAGAAAACATCAAAATTAACAAGAGTTAGAATTAGATAAAACTAAGAACCAAGGGCACAAGCAGTATGGAGATGGGATTGTCTCTATTACTCCAGCAACTACCTCCAGGGTAAAGCGTTCCTATTGGAGCCCCAACCCAACTGGCAGACCCAAGTTTTAATGACTTTCAGGGAGATCAAAAGGGTGGGGTGGATCTCTCCTCTGGTGGCAAGATGTTCCAAAGAGTGGGATCATGGCAGAAAAAACTCTTCTCCTAGACCTTGCCAGCTGAATGTCATTGACCGACAGAATCCCAGCATGCCAAAGAAAGTGGAACAGGCCCATCCAATTGGGGCAAGACTGTTCCTCAAATAGAATTTAGTTATACATTTATTCATTAACTGCCCTTTTCCTTATACTATACATCCAAGCTATCTGCAAAAGAACCTCTCCTACATATCCTAATAATAGGGTACCTTCATATTAGGAGAGGCACTCCTCCAGAAAGAGGCACTCTCCCTCAGGAATTATAGCTTTAAAAGAAAAACCACAAATGAAAGATTCTATTTTCACCATCATCTCTTAGAAATAGGATATGTAATAGGATATCTGAAATTGCTGGGAGGAGGCAATATTTTGTGGAATAGGAATCAGAAGATGGTATATAGGGACAACTGTGACATATTGTCCTCCTCAAATGTTTTATACGAGAAAAGTAGGCAGAACTGGGGGACAGAG